CTTGAAAATTACTAGAATAGGTATTAATTGTTCTTGGGCCAGCCAGTGGCATGGTGGTTAAGGATCTCACATGGCTGACTGTGCACTTCAAGTCCCGGACCTGGCAGCTCGAAAAACATGCCGACTTTGTGTGCATCCATGCCCAAAATTACAAAAGGAGAGTGGAGGGGAGGGATTGTGGCATGGTCATCCTCCCTGGGAAGGGATTCTCAGTTTCCCTCTCTCTGTCTTTCCTCATAGGATGTTTCGAAATACGTATATACTGTGGAAAGGCTAAATGTAGCTAATTAACATAGGCAATATCTCACATACTTATCATGTATTTGGGGAGAGAACACTTTATTTATTTATTTCAGTTTTGCTAGAGCTAAGTCCTCAAGGCAGGAAAGGGACAGAAGAAAGAAAGAGGAGAGAGAACGGCGGGTGCTAAGGGATGGAGGAAGGCGGCTGGAGAGCAGGATGGGGCCCAGAGCCTGCAGATCCCTGCATGCCGGCTCCGTTATCCTCAGGGCCCTGGAAGCACATGAGGTAGCACATGCTGCTTACTGCTGCTTGGTAAGCTGAGGTCACATGGGAGACCCCGGTTCACTTCCTAGCACACTCTAAAGGCCTGTGGCATGTACCTGTAATCCCAGTGACTTGGGAGGCTGAGACAGGAGAAGTGTGAACTTGCAGCCAAAGTGAGCCATGTAGCAATACCCTGTCTGAATGAAAGAGCCCGTGTAGTTGCACAAGGCTGCAATGCCAGCTTCTCGGGAGGTTGAGAGGCAGGAGGAATTCCGCAAGGAAACTGTCAAAAGGTAAAAATTAAAAACCACCACACATGTATGCCTGCACACGCGCAGGAAATAGAATAATTCGCTGGCGGCATTGAGAGGGTGTAAGCAGGGCCACAGCATGGCCCACTTACATCGTAAACTCACTCTGACCTTGTATGGGAGACTGGGGCTGGGGAGAAGATGAAAGCAGGAAGACCAGCTAGAGGCTACTGCAGTATCTAGCAAAGACATGGATGCTGGTGTTGCTGGTGTTTGGGACCAGTGCAGGGCAGCAGAGTGGAGAGAAGTGGGTGGCTTTGGGATTTGGGTGGCAAAATCAACAGTTGACGGAATGGATGTGAGCGGTGTGAGAGAAGGTTGTGGCCTGAGTGCCCGGCAGGACAGGAGTGCCATGTACTGCAGTGGGATGACTGGAGGTGGGAGGTGGACATGCGATGAAAGTTCCATTTTGGACATGCTAAATTTGAGGATCTGAAAGGCCTCTCAGAGATGAACTCAAGAAGACCGTTGTATAGTGGATAGACAACTGCCAGGTTCCAGTGAGAGGGCCAAGCTGGTGCCAGAACACCTGGGTTCAGTCCTGCTCTCCACTTCGAGCTTTGTGGCTGGGGCAGGTCCCTGACCTCGGTTTCTTCACCTCTGGAGTGGGGCTCCTAGTAGCACCTACATCGGGAGTATGGGTTAACACACGAGCTTCCATTTCAGTAGTAAGTATTCCATGAACGTCAGCTTCCTGTAATAACAATTATCATCATCTCAGCTACAGTCATTTTCTTGCCATTTATCTCTTTCTAATTAAAATCAAGGGCCGCAGTAGCTAATAAACACTTCTGATATTCTCCGAATTCCTGGCTTACAAGCCTGTGAGCCTCAGGAGCAGGGCTCTTTGTCTCCTCCGTAGGCCCTCCATGGGGCCCAGCACACTGTAAGGGCTCAGTAACGTTTGTCCAATCATATGGAACTTCACTGCAAGGGGAAATAAATGCTTATACGAACGAGCCGCCAAGCATGGAGAATATCAGAAGTGACTTAACCAAGAAATCAGCAACTACAAGGGCGTGTTTCTGCAGCGGTGTCACCTTTGCTCAAGAGGGGAGCACTTGGTGTCACAGATCTGTCTCTTCCAGAATTGCAGAGCAGTCTGTTAGAAGAAAGAGTTTCCCTGCAATGAGTCAATTCTGATACCTCTCCAGGACCTGCGCACGCGTGCACACACACGTGCACACGCACACACACACGCCCCCCCTAGTCAAGGGCCCAGTCACTTCAGTACAACTCGGCAGACACCACGCCCATCCCTGCCAGAAGCCTCTGGTGTGTGCCCGAAGACCTTGTCCTGCTCATCTGACCCACATCCCGCCGTCCTGTTTTGCCTGACACTTATTCCTTAGCTATTTCTAGGGACCATCGGCCCTTTGTATGAAGCCCACCCCACATCAAGGGTCTTGCTTCTTCCCCCTGGAGATAGATGGTGTTTATGGTTTTGGTGGGGGGAGGCATGGTTTCTCTTTGTGTTCTTTCTGGGCCTCTGATAGGTAGATAAAAGAGACTTTCAGTTAAATTTCAGTTTCAGATAAACAGTGGGTAACATTAAACATGTGTGAAGCATTATTTTTACAGTATTGTTTTATTTGTTAAATCACAACCCTAACTTCAGGAGACCCAGGTTCAAAGCCCCAGTGCACTGGGCCAAGAAGCTCCATGACCCTAGTCTGTGCCTAGTTCACATTTTGGATGCTGAAGATGAAGCCAGACCAGTCTTAATCTTACCCTACCACCACAGAAGCGCTCTGTGTTAGTTTTGGGTGATCTTGACTCCCCCACCTGCCGTGAAAAAGGTCTTCAACCTGCAGTCCAGGTCCTAGTCGGCTGTGGGCACCTGGATAGCATTTATCATCCCTCCAGGACTCTCATACAAACACAGGCTCTTCCTTAGAGGCCTCCCCTGACTCCTGCTTCCTGAGGCCTGTATGCCAATTATACCCCATCTCAAGAACAAATTGTTTCCCTAGAGTCTGTCTGCACTGCATCAGCTCCCTCTGGTGGCAGAAGCAAGCTCCTGTGTCTAGCCTTGAGAGCCCCCGCAGCTCCTGCACCGGGATCATATTCCTGGATAGCCTTCAGCCTCTGGCTCCCTTGCTCGGCGGAGATGAGTATCAGGAGCCCAGTGACCGGCCACACACATCCCATCTACTTCCTGAGGCTTTCTTGGTGGTTCACCTCCCAGGGTTGTTCCCCAGATCCTCCAGGGACTGAGAAGAAGGTATTTCCTTCACAGAAGTCACCTTTCCCTATAGCTCAGGAGGCAGGAACAGGACCAGAAATTGTGAACACCTGGCTCCTTTTCTCGTTTCCCACTGTCTAAATTAGCAAGGGGTCAGGGACAGCTCTGACTCCATGTGGCACGAGAGGGTGGTTCGCCTGCCTCTGGGCAAGGGTCAGAGTCTGGGAAGCGGACACGTGCACATGGCAAAGACTCGAATCCACGCCTTCTGCCCCACACCAGCATCCCCAGTCCTCTGTCATTTTATGCTTCAGCTGCGGCTTCCTCTGCCCACTCAGCTGGTTTATTTAACGCTAACCCACACCACGGTTGGCTTCCCTCCGCTCACCTTGCACTCTCTCCCGCGACTGGCCATGCCAGCATGGCACTCCCCTGCCTGCTTCAAAGCACTCAGTGGCTTAGAAGGATGAAGCCTGAAGCCTTAAGGATTAAAGCAAAGGTCCCCTGTAATCCAGCCCCTGCCTACCTCACCACCCTCAGCTTCTGGCACTCTGTCTAGAAGTTTATGCTCCAGAAACACCGAAACCTCCAGTTGTCCCCACGCAGCCTGCCATGTCTCATCTTCAGACTTTGACTCATCCTAGCCCTGCTCAAAGTTCCCCCACCCTCTCTTCTTCTTATTTTTTAAAGAATTTTTTATTTTAAATAATTGTTTTTGCTATAGGACACATGTGCTCACCAGAGAGAGGCAAGGTGGGGAGAGAGGGAGAAAGCAAGCCACCAGGTCCAGGATTCAAACCACAGTCGGCCATATGGGAATCCAGCGTCCCAACCACCACGCCACCTGCTGGCCCCTCTCACTCTCTCTTCTGCTGTCTCCTTATTTAAGACAGTCAGAGTCACCTCCCCCAGGAAGCTTTGCTGGATCCCCTCGGCCTTGGCGCAGCTCCCTCATCCTCCCACAATGCATTGGTCCCGTATTAGTGCATGCCTGAAGTCCTCGACTCTTGCATTTGCCATGTTGAGTTTTCACGACCCGTGCCCATGTCCTCGCCCCTTCCAGGCAATGGGCCTGGGACAGTGACACATTCCCCTTTGTGTTTCCAGCACCTGGAGCTGGCACAAGCTGGTGTTCAGTAAATGCTTAGTGATTTGATGTCACCATTGACCGGCTCACTCTGAGAAGGAAGTCGCATTGTTTAGGTGGAGTCTCGTCACCCTCTGGACTCCGCCGGCTCCCCACCCCTGGCCTGTCCTACAGCTTTCTCGAGGCTTCTTGTCATTCATGCTCCCATTTCATCTCGCTGGCTCTCTGTCCTGCTTCCGCTTTACATGCAGAGAATCCACTCACTTTCTGTTTATTCAGCCAACCTTTTTCTTAAATACCTCTGTGTGCTGTGCACTGTCCGGCCTTGGGGGAGAGAGATGCACCAGGCAAGGTCCGAGCTCTCAGAAGTCCCAGCCTGCAGCAGGGAGTCGGAGAAGCACACCGTGGGTGCTCTGATGGGGATGGGAGACACAAGCGCGTAGGCCAGTCTCCATGCAGACCAGCAGGGTGCAAAGCCCAGCCCCACGCTGTGGACCAGGTGGCTTTGGGCAAGTCCTTTATCTGCCTCTGTTCCCCACGGTTAAAAGAGGGATAATGACAGTCCTCCCCTCCTGAGTTGTGCAAAGATTAAACACATTAATTCATGTGAAGACTTTCGCAGCGCGCCTGGCCTGCAGTAAACATTTGATAAATATTAGCCGTGTGATACTTAGCTCCGTGTGCTGTGGGGGCACAGAAGAGAGAGAAGATGGATCCGCAGCCGCTGTGAAGGACAAAGGATCAAGCGACATCAGGAGGCAATCATTTTAATTGGAGCCTTGGAACAGGCTATTTACATGAAAAGCAAACACAGCTCCGCTGTGCGTCCTAATGAGCTTGCCCCTCCGGTCCGCAGGGACGGGTCTCTGGGGAAGCCGCCGGCCCGTGTGACCATCTCTCTTTTTCTTAGGGCCGACGACTGCTTTTGCGCTTCTCGGAAGCTGGATGCAGTGGCCATCGAGGCCAAGTTTAAGCAGGACCTGGGCTTCCGGATGCTGAACTGCGGACGGACAGACCTGGTGAAGCAGGCGGTGTCTCTGCTGGGGCCCGATGGGATCAACACCATGAGCGAGCAGGTACAGAGTCTGAGTGGCTGGGCAGGCACCCCTCCTCCTCCCCACGGTGCCACCACTGGCCACACAAGCAGCTGTCGAGTCCCCAGCAGGCACTGGACAGAGCTTCCCCTGCTGCTGACTTAGGTTGCTTCTTTTTAGGTTTTTAAAAACACAAAAATACTCTGTTCGCCTTTATAGAAGTAGCACGTGATATTTGCAGCTGAATTGGAAGAGAGGAAAATAGGCCTATTCCAGAAGGGAGGCAATGCCACTGCCCAGATAACCAGCATTTATATTTAGGACGTGTCCTTCAAGTCCCTTCCCCAGCATGGTTACAATCAGTTCTCTGCCTGTCTGCATGAGTCCAGGCAGGCTTCACCAGACTTTTAGGGTATGTTTGAGAAACTCAAAAGTGATTCTGAGGAACCTCAGAGATACCCCAGAGATAAGCAGCTATCCCCCAAACTCCTGAAATGGGGGTACTGGTGCTTAATGTCCACCAGCTGGGGAAGACACTGTGTGGGTGGAATGTTGCAGTCAGAAAACAAACAGCAGTTTTATACATGAGTCCAGACAGAAAGTCATGGTGGACAGACGTGGCTGTTTCTCACATGGGCAGCAAGTTCCATAGAAGGAATAGTAGGGACGATTGTTTCATTATAGCTAATCATATTCTTTTTTTTTTTGAGAAGTTTTTTTGTTATAGGTTGCGTGCATTCACCAGACAGAGAGAGACAGAAAGCAAGAAATCACCCCGCAGGGGGGATGACTGCGCCGCAATCCCTTCTCCTCCATTCTCCTCTCGGGATCATGGGCATGCACGCATACGTGCCCGGCATGAGTTTAAGCCACCAAGTCCAGGACTCGAACCGCGGTGGACTATGTGGGAGTTCAGCGACATAGCCATTATGCTAACTGCTGCTCCCACCAAGGGGTCTTAATACACACACACAAACCCTTTTTTTTTTTTATAACCTGGGGATCAATTATATCCTGCTTTTTTTTGATATGTCATATTAAAGGTAGTCGGCAATATTGGTTTTTTAAATCACTTTTAATGGCTACATAAAATGATCATGCTTATATTCTTTAATTGTCAGATAGTTAGGTTATTTCTAATTACTTTTTTTTTGGAGAGGTTGTTGCTATAGGCCATGTGTGCTCACTAGAAAGACAGAGAGAGACAGACAGAAAGTGAGAAATCACCCCCCGGGGGGGATGGCCATGCCACAGTCCCTTCTCCTCCATTCTCCTCTAGGGATCTTGGGCATGCACGCACACGTGCCTGGCGTGAGTTCAAACCACCAGATCCAGGACTCGAACCGCAGTCAACTACATGGGAGTCCAGCGACATAGCCATTACACCAATTGCTGGTCCCTCCAATTACTTTTATTAATAATGCTGGCCTAAACCTGCTTATACAAGTCTTTGGTCAAATCTCTGATTGTTGCATTAGGAAAATTCTGTAAAATGAAGATAGTGGATCAAATACATCAACCTTTGTTAAGGTTCTTGATCTTAAATTACTGTCCTAGAAGCTTTGTTTCTGTTTACACACCCTCCAGCTATGTCCCTGTTCCCTGTTAGACTTCTGCTTATCTGTTGCCCAATTGTCACTGGAGGCTTACTGCTTTTCTTCTTTATGTATTAGACAGATAACCCTTTGTTGTGATATGACAAATAGGCCTCCGTTTATTGCTTACTTTTTAGTTTTCTTTATAATGTTTTCAATGCCATGACGATTTTCTTTTGTAATGTCTTTTATTACTTTTATGCGTTGAAACATATTCAGAGACTAGTGAGATATTGTTGGGTTTTTTTTTTTTCGATAGATCTCTAATGAAACGAGCAATGATTTGGTGTCTGAGATAAGGTTCTCACTTGAATGTTTTCCCCAAAGGTCACCCTCACAACACTGTTGACTGGAACACCCGTCCCTTCCTTCTACTGGTTGTGGTGCGTCCTTCGTGATAAGCAGGAATCATGGGCAAAGACAGGCCACTCCTCATCTCCTTGCCTTTTGCTTGTGATAATGTCAAACCACGTGTCAATGACGGGGGAGCTTCCTGCTCAGCATCCAATTTCCCTTGACTCTGACCACCGGCTTTTACACAGCAGAGGTGACACTTGTTAGACTGTGAGAGAGCACGTGTCAAGGAAGCAGCATTGATCAGTTAGATTGCTTAGGGCCCCTGTTACAGAACCCCGAAGGTTCCTGAGAGCTGGAAGTTGTTTGAGCAAACACACTTAGGTCTGTTGCACCCTAAGACAGACAGACAAATAAAAATCTCCCAAAGTAAGCGAAGGTGAATGCTGCGGAGGCAATTTCCGCTCCCTTCTCACCTCCATTTTGGTTTCCAGAGTGTGGAGGGTTGTGACCTTAGGTTGAGTCCTAGGCCGCACATCTGTTTAGGCTCATGCTGGATTGGGGGCATAAGCACAGCTTCCTAAACACAAGGAGCATTTTCCGTTTGCTGTCATCGACTGACCACAGCCACCTTATAAACGTTTTCCATTCTCTGGTTTTAACTCACCGCAGGGCATGACCCCCCTGATGTACGCCTGCGTCCGTGGGGACGAGGCGATGGTTCAGATGCTGCTGGATGCCGGAGCTGACCTGAATGTGGAGGTGAGGGTGCAGAGGGCTCAGGGTGCCCCCTGCCCAGCTGTCTGAGGGGAAGACAGGCAAGGAGAGGGTGGTTTTTTTCCTCCCACGAGCCACTGCCGAAGGAGCCCAGTTCAAACCCAGATCATTCCTCTGCCCTTTGAGTCACTGTGGCCCTGGTGGGACCACCTGACAGAGTTTGTCCATCCTGGGGCTCTAGCCCAACCAAACTGCAAGGACCTTCCTGAAAAATCCATCCCTTTTGAAGACATGGGGTCTTCAAAATGTTCATGAGAAATGGCATGTTATGAAAAACTGTGCGTCGATTTGAAATTCGTTTGCACCAAAATAAACTTTAATTCCATTATTCTCCCAATGTTTTGAAGTCCCCTTGTATGCTTCATTTAAAAACAGCCGACAGAGCTGCCAGGAGCCCCGCTTTCCCATAGGGCTGCGGTCTGCCATCCTTGACGCTACTGCAGTCCATGCCTTCTGGGACTGGGCAGAAGAGCTCTGAGCCATGAGCCCTTGCCCCTGCCGGATCCAAAGCAGGAGAAGCACTGGCGCAGTGCCCCGAGCTGAGGTTACCTCCCCAGGTCCTCCCCCAGTCTCTCCTCAAGTCCTGATCGCCTCCGCGTGTCGGCTAATTGTGAGATCTCACTTCTGGAGGCCACGTCTGATGGTTGAAAGCACATCCTCCTCTCCCAGTGCCCCCTCCCCACAGTCGTTAGAAGTTGGCAGATTGGAGTCAAGGTCTGAAACCACCTCCGCCACAGTGACTTGCGTTTGTGTTTGGGCAACCGATTTAACCTTTCTGCTCCCATCTGCAAAATGGAGAATCATCACACCATGTCAGACAGTGGTTGGAAGGGAGAGGTACGGAGAGCACAGGTTTGAGACTGTTGCTGTCAGCCCCTCCTCTCCTACCCAAGGCTCTTAATAGATGAAATCCACTCTTACCACGTTCTGTGCTGTCTGAAGACCAGCTCCCCCGGGTGCCGGCTGTTGGCAGTCTCGGATGCCAGGAAGACCAGCACAGCAACCCCAGGAAACCTTTTCAGTTCAAAATTAGATGTCCTTGCCATCTTGGTACTGTGGGGACTTTTGGTTTCTTTTTCAATCAGTGAGTTATATATTCATCTGACGGAAGCAGAGACTAGGCATAGTTGTGGATCCAGAATTGTTTTGGACCCTACAAGAATATTTGGGGATTTTTCTCCCCCTGTTGTGAATCCTTAAGCACCAGGAAGACCCTTGCGAAGTCGGCCATGCCTTGACTCTGGGAGGCGTTCTCTGACCCATCCCCCAGGTGTCAGCTCAGGGCTTCCCTCCTGCAGGTGCTTTGTGAACCAAGCTGCTCTGGATAAAGCTGGCATCGAGGTTACATGGTCCCAGCAACGTGTGGTAGAAAAGCCAGGTGTGGGTGCCAGTCTTGTAAAACCCCAGCCTTCAGCTGCCCTCCCGCGTTTCTCTTGGCCTGGGGTGTTTCAAGACCCCTGTTCTGTTCTGAAAGACCAATTTCAGATTGCTCCCTTGTAACATGTCCAGAGAAAGTTCCAGGAGCACAAGGGTCCTTATCAAACAGGAAGCCTGCCAAGGAGTGCAGTGAGGACAGCCTGGGTCAGCTCTGAGCACGTTAGAGATGTCCTCTCTTCCAATGAGTGATGGTCTTTCCTGGCTTGAAAGTTGAAAGCAGACCATCCACTGCCTGGAGTTTGTCACTACTGAGAATGTCTCTTAAAAGTGAGCATGAACTAGTACTGGCCTGGCCTGCCGTCTGACCTCCCCTAGCTCTCAGAAGAGAGGCAGGCAGGGGGACTGGCTCGTAGTAACCCATCACAGCGCCTCCGAGGCACCTTGGAGGAAACGAGAGGTCTTCTCCGAATTGCTTTCCGGCAAGTCCAGGAGTCCTGTTAGCACGCACGGAGGACATAGTCACTGAGAAATTTCCTCATTGCCCCGGTGGAGACAATCTCCAAAACACAGGCTTGCAGTGGGCTGCCTTGGGAGGACTGCTTCAGCCTCCGTCCGCACAGACACAGGCAGGACAGAAGCTCAGTTCTGGGGAGAGGCGTTGGGGAATCCCTACCTGTATGGCCCGCGTTTCCCAGGGCACCTTCCAGAATGTCTTTTTATACACCTCTAGCGCATATGCCCAGGCACGGATAGATCAGATTTACTACCTAAGTACTGTGAAGGTCACATGTTGAAAATAACTTCAATTTGTTTATAGGTTGTCAGTTCTCCTCATAAATACCCATCCGTCCACCCTGAGACCCGCCATTGGACGGCTCTGACTTTTGCTGTGTTGCATGGACATATTCCTGTAGTCCAGGTATTACAGTACTTCCCTACCCACATCTGACCTCGGACCGTACCTCTTCCATGACACCAGTCTGCCTCTCCCAGCATGCAGTTCCCTAAGAGGTTCATATTGGTTAATTGCAACTGAAGATAGCCCTTTCATATGCTACGAATAAAAATACTCTGTGTCATGATCCACACGACCCGGCTTTAACCAATATGAAATGACCATGCCCACATGCAGCCTCACACACAGAGTGCCAAGCCTACGAAGTCCTTGCTGGTTGCTCTGGGTGGGACCTCAGCTGTCATTCGTGGGTTTGTTTGTTTTGCTTGCCGGAACACAAAACCTGAGAGACGGCTGGTGTGGGTACCTTGGAACTTCCTCTTAGGTCTGACACTGGTGTTTGCATAGGAGCTAGTTAGCGCCACCCAGTGGGGAGAAGCACAAGTCACCAAGGGAGAGTCCAAAAGAAGCGTGGTCCTGCTTCTGGAGAATGAGATCTAGGAGGACTACAACAGGGCCTTGGCCTGCGTCTTCTGCAGCAGCTGAAAGAGGGGTGACGTGTCCCCAGCAGAGGTCCTTTGAGCACATACGTGTGATATTTTGCTTGCGCTTTTCCTGGCTGTTCAATGACCAGCCATCCGCCACATCCCAGATCTTAACCGTGGTCTTGACTTCACTGGAAGAGGGAGATGGCCATCCACCTTCCTGAGCACAGTGGTCCCGTAGTGAGTGCTGACTTGGGGGACATCGAGAACTCTCCTCCTCTCACGTGGCCCAAACCTCCTCATTCCAGGCAGAGCAGGCAACTATGCTGTGGGGACAGCTCATCTGTGTTAAATTTCACAGGAATCCTTTGTTGATCCCCGTGGCTTGCAAATCCTTAGGACAGACCCAGGTCGTGTTTCAGGAGGCTTGAACATGTGACGTGTCACTCAGCTCACTTCTGCCTATAGGACATCATGCCTAGTCCACTCCTGGTGGAGGCATGTAGGAGAGGAGGGGTCGGGTGGTGGCCTGGTGGACACAGGTGCCACCCTCCCATGAATGGCGTCTCAGCCTGTATGTCAGGACTGGGAACGGTGGGCAGCCACCAAAGTCAGGTCGCCTCCCTGCAGCAGCTATAGCGAGTCATAGGATGCTAAGAGACAGTTTCCGCCTGGCTGTGCCCTCAGGAGCCCCAGGTAGGCCGTCAAGACGGTGGGTTTTTCCCCCTTTCCCTCTGCAGTGCTGGCGGCTGGTTCCCCGTGAGTGAGATCCAGCGTGGACACAGCCTCTGCCTCCTCTAAAAAGCCCAGATATCATAGGGGATGCATGCATAGAATGGAGTCGTACCAAGCAAAGCTTCTAGAAGCTTGCTTTGCCACCTTATTAACCACTCTTGCTGGCCAGAAAGCTTAGCATTTGCTAAGTGTCCTCAGAGCCACCCAGGGTGCTCAAGAAGGGATTCTTGCCCTGGTTGGTCCAGGGTGTCTCCAAAGTCCTTCAGAACTCTTGAGAGTCTGCAGTTCTGAAAGAGCACCCCGATGCCCTCCCAATAAAGGAGTCTTCTAGCATTCTGGTGCTTGATGCTTCTAGAAGTTTCCACGTCCACCTACATCCCCAGAGATCTTGCTCAAATGCAAACTCATTCAGCAGGTCTGGGGTGGGACCCAAGGGTCAGCATTCCTAGCAAGGCCCCCCAGGTGATGCTGATGCCCTTGTGCATGGACCACACTGAGTAGCTAGGGTTCTAGAAGAAGCGAGAGGTTCTTCCTCTGAGGTGTGGTTGCCCTGCAGCCCTGTGCACGTGATCACTGATGCGGAGGGAGGGAAGGAGCGTCAGCCTCACCGATGTCCACCAGCCTACATAGGTCTCTGCAAGTGCGGGTCCTTTAACACCCCTGTGACCACTCTTTGTCGTAGCTTCTCCTGGATGCTGGGGCCAAGGTGGAAGGCTCGGTGGAGCACGGCGAGGAGAACTACTCAGAAACACCCCTGCAACTCGCAGCCGCTGTAGGTAAGGGTCGCCGGTTCTCGCCCCAACCAAGGGGCTCCGCCACCCTGGCCTTGATGAGCCTCTAACTGTAATTTTTGCTTGATTCTCTTATAAAACCCCTTCTCTGGGCTTGCAGGAAATTTTGAACTGGTTAGTTTGCTGTTGGAGCGTGGTGCGGACCCCCTGATAGGAACCATGTACAGGAATGGAATTTCTACAACCCCCCAGGGTGATATGAACTCTTTCAGCCAGGCTGCAGCCCATGGACACAGGTAGGCTAGGATGGGCCGAAGCCATGAGGTCCCGAGTGGTGCTTGTTAAAAATGCAGATTCCCAGGCCTACCCCAGACCCATCCTCTCTCTGGATGTGGGGTCCAGAGGCAGCATGAGGTGGTCCAGGCTGTAGGCTGGCTAGAGTGACCTTCACTGCCAGCTTTCTGCTAAGAGCCACCTCTCCGCTCAGGACCAGCCAGTCTGTCTGTTCCCAGCTGGCTCCGAGCTCATGCAGAGCTGTTCCTCTCTGTCAGTTTCAGTCAGACCACGTCACAGCAGCTGCCATGAGCGAGAAGAACCCACTCAAAGATAACAACAACGCCCCTCATGGTTGGTTACCGCCCTTCTGATGGAGTTACCCCCATCAGATTCGATTACACATAATCCCAGGTGAAGCAGAGGAGGGAATGCCAGCTAATGGCTAAAAGGATGGACTTCTAGAACCTTCCAGATACTTGAGGAAATCACTTTGCCCTCAAACAAACAAGACCCCACCATCTCCTCCATCCCCACATCCTACCACCCACACGTGGTCAGGCCTCTGCCATCACCGCCCTGGAGTAGGTCCTGTCCTTCCCTCGTCTGCCCCCGCCCCCGCCCGGCAAAGCCTCTTCTGTCTCTGAGTGTCTTCCTCTCTGGGTTTGTGATTGACAGGAATGTGTTCCGCAAACTGCTCGCTCAGCCAGAGAAGGAGAAGAGTGATATCCTGTCCCTGGAGGAGATTCTGGCCGAGGGGACTGACCTGGCCGAGACGGCCCCGCCCCCCCTGTGTGCCAGCCGCAACAGCAAGGCCAAACTGAGGGCCCTGAGGGAGGCCATGTATCACAGCGCTGAGCATGGCTACGTGGATGTCACGATTGATATCAGGAGCATAGGTCAGTGGGCACCTCCACCGCTGGCACGGCGCCGCTGCTGGCTCTAGGACACACTCACACACACACTCACACACTAGGTGACCCAGGGAGCTTCTGCTTCGCTGGGTGGGACACTTCCAGGCCAGGAGCCCACACTGTCCCGACAGGTTGCAGCATCTACCTGCCCCCCGCCCCCCAAGGCCTTTCTCAGGTCATCTTTCCATGATTCCCAAACTCTGGACCCTGGGCCGGGAACTCAAATCACCTGGGGAGCTTGTCTGAATGCAGATTGCCAGGCCCTGCACCCAGAGGCTCTGCTGTTGAGGGTCTGGATGGAGAAAGGCTGGAGATCTCTATATTTAACAATCATCCCAGGTGCTTCCCAGCGGTTGAGGAGTCACTGCCGTGGGACACCCACTCCGTGACACTGGCCAGGCAGCCATTAGCTGAGGGCACCCCGTCCTTACCACGCCTCCCACTGAGCTCCAGGGACCTCGCCTCTTGTTAGGGGTGGCTCTTCCTTCAGTGCGCAAGCCCAGAGCATCTGTGTCTGGAGAAAGAGGCGAGCCCTGTTTTCACCAGGGTCGTGGCTTCAGCCCCGGCACAGGAGCACAGAGACCTCACATTGAGTCCCCAAACACAGGGTGCACTGGACCGAGGCAGGCTGGGAGTAGAGAGAGGCCCCGGTGACTCCCTTCTGGAACTGGCCTCTCGGGGGAGGCTGTTTAGTATGTGGGCATTTATGTAGCCTCGCTCTGCTGTGATTGTCAGCAGGGAGCGAGACCGCAGGCTCACGGGTCTGCAGCATCCCTCGGCCCTCTCCCACGGGCCTGTTCTGCGTGATGATGGAGCCCGACCCACGGGATGGTCCGCTCGTTATCAACAGTGGTGCGTCGTGCCCTCCCTCCTCTGTGCTTCACCACAAGAAGGGAGAAGCAAATTACAGCAATCAGCTGCTGGAGAGGCAGCGATTAGAGGAGGACCTGCTGGAGTGGCTGCAGACGCAGGGCTGTTTTGCACAGAGGGCAGCCCCGGGGTCCTCCCGCCTCTCCTCGTTCACACGTCAGTGTCCGCCCTGGCCAGAGCGGTCGATGGTGAGGTCCACCGACGGCCTCCAGCCCCACGCTCTCCTCTGGGCACGAGTGTGCCCCAGATTCCTGGGCTCACCCACTCTTCACTCCTGGGAAGACTTCCCGCCTGAGCTCCTCTCCCCCAGTGAGCAGAGGGGATAGAGTGGGAACCCAGAACTCCGAGGTATATACACTACGTCTGGTAGTGTGAATATATTAACTCCAGTGTGCTACACGGTGGTTATATGTTGTAGAATTCAGCCCAGAGTAACAGGATAGCATGCAGAAATGGACACCCATAGCTAAGGGAATTGAATTATGACTTTTAATTTCAACTTCTGCAAGTCTTTGGGAAAAAAGCAACACTGGCTGTATTCATTCCAAGTCAGTCCCTTGGTCTCGTAATTGGGAATGTCCTGGGGAAAGGCCGATTTCCAGATGAAAACACACCTCCTCCTTGGTTGTTTCTGCCTCTTCCCGCTCCTATTCCCTATTCTCCCCTCCCTCCCTTCTCTCCCCCTCCCTTCTCCTTTCCTCCCCTACTCCCCTCTCCACCCCTCTACGCCCCCCCATCCCCTCTCCTCCTTCCCCTCCTGTCCCTTCTCCACCCTTCTCCACCCTTCTCCACCCCCCATCCCCTCTCCTCCTTCCCCTCCTGTCCCTTCTCCACCCTTCTCCACCACCCATCCCCTCTCCGCCCCCTCTTCCCCTCCCCTCCCCTCTCCCGCTTTTCCACTCTTCCCTCCCTCGCAGGTGTCCCCTGGACTCTGCACACATGGCTGGAGTCTCTGCGGATCGCCTTCCAACAGCACCGCAGGCCCCTCATCCAGTGCCTGTTAAAGGAGTTCAAGACCATCCAGGAGGAAGAGTACACGGAGGAGCTCATCACCCAAGGCCTGCCGCTCATGTTCGAGATCCTGAAAGCAAGCAAGGTAGGCTGGAGGCTGCTGTGGCCATCAGCAGAGAGCGAGGCCAAAGGTTCACGGGTCTGGACGTCCCTGGCCTGCCATTGCCCTGTGGCAAGGACGCTGTAGCCACGTCATCAGGGCCACGTGGTGAAGGTGGCCTGGCTGGCCAGAGCTGCTTGCACTCATCTGCAGGGTGCCGTGCGCCTCCAGGCACTTGGTCACTGGGGAGTTAGGTCTCTTCTAACACCAGGGATTCAGGGAGGTGATACCAATGTGTGTGCCCCGACAGATGGGAGGTGGTTTCTCAGACAGTGCTAAGTGGGACCGGGGGAGCCTAGGAGCAGCCTGAGAGTTCAGAGGGAGGCTGAGGAGGGTGGGCATCCCTGAGGCTGAGACTGGATCAGGCCTAGGTGGACAATAGGAATCTAGTGGGAGGAGAAAATGGCGCAGCTCCCTGGATACAGGGAACTAAGCCCCGCCAGGGCCAGAGATTCCAGACATCTGGGCCCTAGGAGAGGCGTTGTGAGTAGAGAATGTGAAAGAGCGAAGAGCAGGCTCCGACCCCTGGAGGCTCGCCCCTGCTGACACCCACATTCCCACACAGGGAAACTTTGCAGCCCCTTCAGACTGATAGGAGGCGAATTCCTAAACACCTCTTTGGCAGGACCAGTAGTTGGTGTAATGGCTATGTCGCTGGACTCCCATGTAATCAACCGTGGTTCGAGTCCCAGACCGTGTGGCTTAAACTCACACCAGGCGTGTGTGCGTGTGTGCCCAGGATCCCGAGAGGAGAATGGAGGAGAAGGGATTGCGGCGTGGCCATCCCCGCTGGGGAGTGATTTCTCGCTTTCTATCTCTCTGTCTCTCTCTGTCTTTCTGGCAAATGCATGCGCCCTATAGCAAAAACCTCTCCAAAACAAACAAACAAAAACAACCTCTCTGGGGTCTGTGGTTGGCAGTACCCTACAGGCCCTGTGGGGCTTGCTGGCAGAGAACACAGAGAGCTGCCTGGTGCCCTCCATCCCCAGCAGCTGTGACCATGACAGGCACTAGGGAAGACCAGTCCTCTCGAGCTCATGTCACTGACCATCACAAATTCCAAGAGCCTCTCAGTGAGACACAGGGGGTAGTAGGGCATAGTCATTGAGGGCTTAGACTCTGCTGCCAATCAGCAAGGTTCAAATCCTGCCTCTGCCACTTACTGACCGTAAGGCCTCCAGTTTAGTCAAATGCTTAACGTGCCTGGGCCTTGGTGTTCCCACCTGAAAATGAGGGTGATAATTGTGCTGACTGATTAGAGGACAAAGTAAGTTAATATACTAATGCCTTTGGAATTGTCTCTGAAAGTGATAAAATGGTCTCACCTGGGGGATGGCCCCTCTGGTATTTCTCAAAGACTGTTCTGTAAAAATCACCCTGAATACCCAAACACATCAAGAGAACCGAGCCTGACCCCAAATGCACCTAACCTCAGGGCCCTTTCATAATGAATTGTTTCAAGACACAAATACGAATTTCGTAAACGCTAAAATATAGATTTTATCTTTTGCTACATGCCAGGCACTAATCCAAGCATGTTTTGAAGACCGTTTAATCCACACAAGCCACTCTGAAGGAGGTAGTGCTCTTAACCCCATTGAACAGATGGTGGGCCTTGTGGTTAAGGCAACTGGATCTCACATGGTGACTACACGGTTCTAGTCCCAGACCCGTGGGCTTGAAAAACACACTGGGTGCATGTGCATGCATATCCCAGATCCCAAGAGGACAATGGAGGAGAGATGGTGGCATGCTGCCCCCCCACGAGGGGGTAATTTCTCACCTTTCCTCTCTCCCTCTTTCCAGCAAGCACACATGACCTGCAGCAAAATTAAAACACACACACACAGATGGGGACACGAGGCACAGAGAAGGTGAATAACCTGCCCAATATCACACAGCTGGCAAGAAGCAGATCTGGAGTTGACGCAGGTGGTCAGGCTCTGGTGCCAGCCTTCTTTGCCACTGAACAGGCTTGTAGGACTCTGGGGTCCTCTAAAACCCCAGAGCCTGGAAAGTCTCAGAAGAAGTTGGCCTCTGAACCAAAGGGTAGCGTGGGTTCCCCAGCCAGGCTGGGCGGATGGGCCACTATGTGAAGAGGGACACGGCGCTGCCTTCTCCAGACCCAGTCAGAAAGCAGTGACAATGCGCATCTGTCCCTGGAGCTCCCCGTCTCAGGGCCAAAGCCAATCCCATTAGGTGTTCTCATTAGCGCCTCTCCTTAGCCGGGTGTCTCTGAGACCCCTGCAGGTTGGATCTGTGCTCAATGTCAAGCTCCACCGAGGCCCCAGATGGGAGCAGGTGTGCCAGCCCTCGGGTAATGAGCCTCAGCGAGTCCTCCAGGAGCAAAGCCTGCTGGGAGCTTTGCAAAACCAAACTCCCTCCTACAGCCCAGCTTAAAAATAAATAGATGAATAAAGACTTTCGCCTGAGATTACCTAAGAACTCATCTTAGTGAAAAACAGCACTGGATCTTTCCTAGGGTCGTTGTTCTATCACTTTGGGGTTTTGTTCAGTTGTTTTTAACTCATCTTCGGGCTGTAGTGGGAATTCCAGAATTTACTGAGGTATCTGTATCTTAAGCAAACCTCATCTACGGATTTCTAAAATAAACTTTACTTTGAACAAGGACAGACTTACAGAAAAGTACCTGGATCGTAGTTCCAGGGCCTGATGAATTTTCACTATGTAACCAACACCCAGACCCGGAAACAGAACAGCACAGTACTCCAGGGGCTCCCGTGGGTCCCTCAGCCCCTGTCCCCAAAGGGCCACCACGCCTCACTTCACTTCTCCCAGACCCACAGCCTGTTAGACTGGGACAGTTCACCAAATAGAAAGTATTTCTCAGAACCTGACCCCTGTGCTGACAAGAACCTACAGGCGGACCTACAGGCTACCCTCCACTCGTCAATAGCTGTTGCCTCCATCGCTTGGAGTCGCTCGTTTGAAAAATCAGACTGACCCCTCATCCCCCCAAGGTACTTCTATAAGGTACTCAGATGACCAGGTCAGCGCACCCATGTCTGCTTCTCTGCTTCACCACCGCGTAGCTGAACTTGTCCCAACGGGAGCCCGAGGTTACCTGAGCCTCTCCTGGTCCCCAGAGCCTCGGAGCCCCCAAAGGGCAGATGTTTGGGGTGCCAGCTGGGCCTGTGGAGCCACTGCACCAGTGTGGCGGTGTCTGTAAAGAGTAGGACAGGTCCGTGTGCTGGGGGAGGGAGAGCACTGACATCTACGGTGACAGCTGAGGGTGGGAAGAAGGAGGGGGCTTTGCCCGTTGGGAGTGACTCAAGCTGCTCCGTGGTAGTAGTGGCAGTGGGGCTGGCCGTCGAGGGCAGGGGAGCCTCACATGACACACTGGAGGCTTCTAGTCCACAAGGGCAGCCCAGGAAGCACATTCAAGACAGAGGAGCGGTTCGCCTTTCCAGGGGAGCCCATGACGACCCCTGCTGGTGAAATGTGGTATTACACTGACCGCAGGGGAAAGGGCTCAATCTCTTGTCCCAGCAATGATGTCAAGAATCCCCCTAGCGTAGGTCGTATCTCTGTGGTCACAGAAGACTGGGCAGAGAGGACAGCAGAGAAATTCAGGGAGTTGAGAAAGTGCCGAAAACTTCCGCCCTCAGACAGAGTCCTGTGGGAGGACAGCAGTGGCCACACATTGCCCAGCTGGCCAGCCTTGGCCCTTATGCCTTCCAAAAAGGATTTCTGTTCAGATTGTGTCTGCTGCTGCATGTGAACCCATATTTGGTTTTACCAGAGTAGTGGATAAGACTATAAAATTTCCATAAATAAATTCACATTATGGCCTGCTCACTGAAGTCTAGCTGTCCTGTGAAGTGAGACGCATTACTCCCTTCCCTGGTAGTGGTCATTCGTACCATACTTGAAATATGATTACAAATCAACATTTTCCTCCCTCTTCTAACTTCAAGATCACTAGACTTCCCCAGGAACAAAACAAAATAGTCATTTTTTTTTTTCCCTGAGAGATTTTTGCTGTATGGCACGGGTGCTCTCCAGAGAGACAGAGACCAAGAGGCAACTGAGATATCACCCCCAGGGGTGGGGTGGCCACACCACAATCCCTTGTCCTCCATTCGCCTCTCAGGATTTTGGGCACGCACGCACACACACTCACCCGGCATAAATTTCAGGCTAACCGGTTCAGGACTCAAACAAACCACAGTCGGCCACTGGGAGTTCAGCGCCTTAACCAATACACCACCTGCTGCCCCCAAATAGCCACTTTCAAATATCTGTGTCTGTTTAAAGAGAGCTCCTGTTCCATTTCTCCAATGCATAATTTCTCTGGGCATTCATCCAAAAGATACTCCTGAGGGCCACCGTGTCCCAGGCATCGCGTGACGTTGGCACAGATGTGTCCTTTACGCCCTGGAGCTGACTGATGATGGGTGAGAAAACAGGTGAGTGGAACAGAGTCAGAGTGTGATAAATGCTGTCTTAAAAAAATACAGGTGTAGAGCCAGCAGGAAGTGTGGAGGTTAAGGCAGCGGGATCCCACATGGCTGACTGCGTGGTTTAAATCCCAGAACCAGTAGCTCGCAGATCATACCACATGTATGTGCATGTGTGCTCAAAGTCTGAGAGAAGAATGGAAGAGAAGGGATTGCAGCATGGCCATCCCTTTGGGGGGGAAGAGGGTAATTTCTTAATTTCCCTCTCTGTCTCCCTGGTGATCATGTGTGCCTATAACAAACTAAAAAAAAATAATAATAAAATAGAGGTCTAGGTGGTGGCACAGTGGTGATGCTACTGGACCCTATTGAAAAGGTCTTGGGTTCAAGTCCTGCAACCTCTCTGAGCATACATGGCATGCACACATGCCCATGATTCAGCATAACCAAGACTGAGGGAAAATGGCAGTGTGAGGACCCAGTTAGGGGTGACTGTCTCTGTCCCTCTTTCTCATGGGAGAAATAAAGAAATAATTTTTTTTTAATTTAAAAAAAAAAAAAACA